CAAGCTATCTCACAAATATATTAAAGTTAAAAATTCATTGTGTCTTCATGATCTGGAAACGCTTTCTTTCAAACACTAATATGGTATACCACCTACAGGTGGTATTTTCTGAGATATTTTTATGTCATTACCAAATATCACATTGCATACTCTGTGGTGTATAGTATATAGAGTATACGATGTTAAAATGTTTTAACGCTCTCTGTTGGTGGCTTTACGTTTTGGGCGGTATAGTTACTATCTAGTGAGAGCTTTGCCTCTGCATACTTTTTACCAATTCATTCTACAAGAGAAAGAGTAGACTTATAATCCTTCTTATGAGCCAAAATTGTAAGATGGTAATTAGTCAAACTGCCAACTACAACTTCAGGCAACAAAACTTTCAACATTTACTCAAGTTTCCCTTTACATGAAGGCTTATAATCTTTTATTACAACAGTAGATGATGTTTTTTTTTCAATTCTATTAGATTATCTTTGTATAATTTCATATTTGACACTTCAAGATTCCAAAGACCCGTTTGAAACAAACTTTTCATTATTGTGTTTATGTTCAGACAATTCCAAAGAAAAACAGGCGACAACAGTTTAAATAATCTATCGATATTTTCTCCAATGGATACTATTAACTCATTTTGTGAAAATAATTTGTTTCACTAAGAAGAATCTTTTTTCTGCACATTGCTAATACTTGTATCTATATCGCTACCACTCAGCTAAATAGTGTTCACACTACATTTTACAGATTTGTCACTTTAAAAGTTGTTGTTTTTTTTGGGTGTATTTTCGAAAACTTTATTGAGTGGAAATGAAAGAAACAACAAAAAAAGAAAACGTCTTTGAATAATTTTTGTAGTATACGATATGCAGATGAAAAAACAAAAATGAAATAAAACTTAGTCAGAATTTAAAATGACAACATCCAGAAAAACAATGAATAATTTAAGACCGAAAAAAGTGGATAATCAATAATGATTTATATTACAATCAAATAAAATTTTAGATTAGATATGGAAGAATAAACGCACAAAATCCCGAAAAAAAACGATAAAAAGTCAACAACAATGATACCACTACACACAGTTGATTATAGATTGCTAAAAATGAGAACAAGAACAACAGATCAATAAGTGAGAGTAATTGACAAAATTGTTTCTATTTACTATGGATGTATCGGCAATGAAAATGTTTAAAAACAGAAATCATCAGATGGTATTTATATAAAAATAGACTAAAAACTCTCACATAATTATACGTTTCTTTTACAGAACATGATCTTAAGAATTCAACCAACGCTTTCGATGCAGAAAAAAGTGTTTGACCTAAATCAAGTAACAGTTCTTAACGAGAACAAAATTTAAAGTCCTTAATGAATAATTTAATGTAAAGGTCTTTTTTCCTACATAAATGTTTGCTACTACATACGTGTATGAGATAGAAAACAGAAGTAGACCAAAATCGCTTAACAAAAAACAAAATACAGTAAAAGACAGTAGACTAACTACAGTTCACATACTATCTGTCTAAAAATACATGCATAATCTCATCATCATAACTTAAAACTTTACATGTGAACAGATATAAATAACAACAACCAATGTACAATATGAGAAAGAGATAGAGGATAAATACTTTCTCATAAAAATAATGTTATTATCTCTATTCATTTCTTCATGAGTTAAAGACGATTATTTTAACAATGGTTGTTTTCCACTCGAAGGAGACGCATTACTATTTGTACCGGTGCTATCAGCAAATGCACCACCTGCTGTTGATGTTGTGTTAGAAAAATTCATAGATTCATCACGCGAATAGATTCCATCATTAACACCACTAGATAGATTTTCGTCACCATCGCGATTGAAATTCATTGCTGATTTGGATTGTGTCATTTTTGTTTTAACAGCGTTTAATCCAGATCCTAGTTTATCTTCAAAAGTCTTGAAATACGAACCTAAGTAGAATGAGAATAGTTGAGTAATAAATAAAAATCTTGTATCTAAACAGACTTACTACTTCGCAATGAACCCAATTTTGTTTTCAATGATGTATTCACACTTTGTATTGTTGGTGTTAATTTATCAGTAGCCGTTTTTAACGTTTCAGCCGTTTTCTGATAGGCATGCGTAGATTTAATATCGCTTATTGTTTCATTCCAATCTTGTTTCAAATCATCAACAAATCCAACGCCTAATAATTGTTTTAATTCATTTTCGCGTTTTAATTTAGCACCGAGAACCTACAAAACACAAAATACTCTAGGAAATAAGCGTACTTTCAACCAAGCTTTGCTCTAAATACCTGTCTCAATGTAACAATTTCGTCTTGTACTTTCATCAATTCTAAAAAATAATAAAAGGGTTAAGATAAAGAGATAATTGATGATTAGCCCATTAAACATACCCTGACGATAATCTTCCTCTTGTTTTAAACGATCATCTTCGCGCAATTCAAATTGTTGATTACTTGCGGTTGATGGAATCGATGATGCAGTTGAAGAACTTGCCAAGTTACTATGCAACGCATGATCACTGTCAAATGGTTTTGGCATTTTGGTTGAATGTTCAGTATTCATAGTTTATCAATTGTAATCTACCAGTCACGCAAATATAAGAAATAAGCAATGAATTATCTAAAATGTATCCGAAAATGTTGTGTTATGATACAAACTACATGCTGATTTGTTTTAACTATCGGACATTTATTTGTGCGAGAGAATAGTCCTTACTCATTTGAAAATAATTACTGACAAATTCTTGTATGTTACTTTTTCACGGGGAAGCCGACCAAAATTCTATTAACTTAATTAAAGTTTTGCAGTTACTCAGCAAAAAATTCTCCTTGCTCTTAAACTATATATCAGGACATCACTCTCGTTCAAATAAATAAATTTATTTTGCTAACTATGCCTTGTATATACAATAAAAAAACTGACTAATGTAATTGCAGATGAAGGATGGATGCAGTATTAGAACTGTGGCAAAAATCTATAGTCCGTCATGTACTTAGTTGAAAAAATTTTAAAGTATAATTTGTCTTAGTTTTTCTGCTGGTCTCTGATGGCTTAGTATTTTTCTTATATTCAAAATTTTTTTAAGAGAATTCTCGAATGAACAACGAGCGAAAAAGAGACGTGTATTAGAACCACGAATACCTCTATAAAGACTTTCTTTGACTCACAAAACGTACGTTTTCTCCACTGAGAGCATGTATTATTCAATTATTTATCGATTTAAACACAGACGCGAAAGAGTATAGAGAAAATATTAACGGAAAACACACTGAATCTCGCAGAGTCCCTCCTACAGCAAAGAGCTCTAAAAGCTACATTCAATAGGGTTAACAATGCCGAACAGATGAATGGTTGTTTCAAACGAGCCACTTTTAGATAACTTGCGAATGACATTGTGAAACCTAAAAACTACATGTACACGGTGAATTCAAAGAAAAGTACACAAAAACATGAATAATCAATAATGAAAAACACAGTCTGATCAGTATGACACAATTATTCACAAACGAATTGTCATTCACACATATCTTTGGCACATGTGATAGTATTTAACACAGGTGAGAAAAAGAATTTCAGTAATACAACAAAAACGATAATTTGATTAGTGTTTTAGTGACTTTGTTGATAACTGTCTACTTGTTTACACAAAAATAAAACAAGCACAAAATATCGTAAAAGTCATGAAAACTATTATTACTAAACTATTATGAAAACTATTATTAATTATTATCATTCTTCTTGTTTGTTATCTCCTAAACGACTCTTGTCGTTAAATTCTCCTAAAATTCAAGCGTTCATTTCTTTTTTTCCTAGTATAGCCTGTACTGCGTCGAATTTGACAAAATGACCAATTAGTATTTTCGAAGATGAGGCCGATAGAAATGGAACAAAAAGAGGGCGCTATACAGCTGTCTGCTTGATTTTCCTCACGGTTGGAGTAAAGTACAGTATTGTTTAGTCATTTCTGACTTTCAATCCGAGATGCTGTACTCTTGCAATGGTTATAAGGTGATATCTTGACTCTAAGTAGGTTATAACATATAATTCGCCGGTAAGGCATAATGGAAATGGATCGCTACTATCAACTAAACGTTCTTCATATAAAATTAGCGCGATGACTCTTTTGTGCTTTGTCAGCTTTACTTCTCATGATCTATCTAATCAGACTCTGCCAATGATGATATAAAGAAAAATAAAACAAAATGATTGGATACTATATCGCTTGATGAATCATTACTTCCACTTGAAAAAATTCCCATTTTTATTTATAGTTATATCACTGTATGTGATCAGATGTAACGGAAAAGATCCTTATTTTTATACACTTGTTTATTTAGTTACAAATTCATTATGAATTTTGGATTCTCATTTCGACCAAATTCCAGTCAGTAATTTGTTCTATTTCTTCAAACATATACGATGTTTTATTTGTTTCTTCATATTCGAGATATGATGATTCAGACCATTTTTGTTTTTGTTTTATTTTATGTATTATTTCATTATAATCCAATATCAAATTCATTAGATGAGAGTTTTAAATCTAAACAAAAACAGATGGACAGTGTTTTCGATAGTAGTTTTGGTGTTGGGATGGAGAGTCTGCTGAGTAACTAAAATTTTTTCTGAGTAACTCAGTTAATCAGAAAAAAATGAGTTACTCAGAAGCTTCTGAACCAATCACGTACTCAGATGCATAAAAGGCAGTTTCTCAACTTAAATTTGTTAAAAAATTTGAGTAAGTCAAAATTTTTTGAGTAACTATATCCAGACGAGGTTTGCCATCCCTTACCACCCCCTAATCGATAACACTGCAGATGGGATATTTGATTTTAAATAATTTTCTTTGACAACTTACAAGACGTTTTTTAAATTGAAGTGGACTGTGGGTGTAAATTAAACAGCGCTCTCTCAAAAGTGAATGTACACTATACACTTTATGAAAAAAGCAGAGTGTACATACACTGCCAAAAAAATCGACTTTGTTTTCCTCCTAACTTGACGCGTTCTGACAGGTTATCTGTCAGATTTCCGATGCTTTGTGTTAACCGGAGGATTTAAACATCAGTATCCGACAGTATCACTCGCGAAAGTCTTCTGACCTGACGCTTTTGACGAAAATAGATCGGGTCGCATTTCGTTTGTCGATTTGATAGAAATACTACAACATGGAAAAGAAACTTCCTTGTAATATGAAAAATACACAGTTTCAATTTTGAATATAAGAATAGATTACTTCAATCGATTAATTTTTGATCTTAAACATATTTGTACTTATTGTTGATAATTTTGTCAGTCTCAGTTGTTTTGATTATGTATGTTTGTTTAGAATTCTTTTAACTGTTTTAAATGATCTTGTTTTAACAAGTTAGTTGACTCTTTCTGAAATATCAACTATCGTATGCTTTTATTCCGTTCAGTGGGCGTAGAGTATATTGATCAATGACTATGATGAATTTTGACAGTTCACTCTCTGGTAGTAGTTGATGCATAATTAAAAAAGTGTGCATGAAAATTAAGTACACTGCTTTGTTCTTAGCTGTTTCTTCTTTTGGCTATGTATTAATTGTATTAACATTTTTCAAGTATTAATATGAACATTCGTAGATAATAATATGTTTCGTCTAGATTAAAATAATATGTGTTTACATTAGTCTATTGGTACATTTTATTTCATTTGTGTTTGAAAAATGTCGGCAAAGAATCCGGACGAAGACGAATGGATAACACCACATAAAAATCGTAATAAGTCTGTATGTGTTAATGATATAATGATAAGAACAGATTTGTTCGTTTTAGGAAACTCATCATATTCCGGGTACGCGCGTCAAAATACGCAAGATTATTCAAACCAAAATCTGCCATCGTACCAGCAGAATGCTAACAACGACAACAATCGACCACATCATAATCGGCAATGGAATACTTATTACAATAGCCAACAGTCAAACTCATATTATAACAAAAAGCAACATTCGCCTTATAATAACAATCGTAAGTTATGTCTTAAATTTTTATCAGGTACAATTTTTTATGTCTTTTTTTAGGTCGTCCAGGCTCAACGTCTTCATTCAGTTCGGACAGTGTGTTTAGCCGTGGATGTACGCCAATCAATCATTCAAACAATGTAGCAAGAACAAATGAGCGTACTGCAATTTCAGCTATAGCTGATCGTTTGTCCACTCAGCGTTTTATGTCGGATTCAAAAACACCTACCAACTGTTTTTTATTATTTGAGGGTGCATCGAAAGGAGAACAAGATAAAATATGCTTTCTCGATTATCAAGGCACACGAGCACGTAATCACCATAAAAAAAAATTATTTATGCCACAAATTGATCAACCAAATGACCAATCACCGCAAGCCTATGAAGAATTCTCAAGATCGATTCATCAAATTATTGATACCATATCACCCGAAGATCTGACGAATTATAATGTCAGTGTGAGACCAGGTGTCGTCTATTTTTTTTCTGAATTATTTCGATTTGAAAAAACATTTTCAATAAATGACCTTCATCATTTATTACTTAAAAAGATCAAAACAACAGATCCCACATATTACAAGCCAAATCGCCTTGATGTGAGGCAACAACAGTTACGAGATCATGTGCCATCTCGGCAGACAGGAATTCAGTCAATGTCGACAACTAATGAATGTCAAAATTCGAATCAGCAAGAAAAGTAGGGAGGAAGATGAGCCGTGCTTGTAACAGCTAAAAAATAGACGGATAATTTTAATTAAACTGTTAAAACTATTTCGATTTTTCGTCCGGAACGATAAGTTTTGAAAATTATTACACTAAGATAAGGATCACTGATCTACCTACGGTAGTTATTGTTTTATTTCTGTTAACACGGTTCATTACGCGTAACTACGCACTCTAGTTTGCAATATAGTCATTAGCCTGTTTATCCTTTTCTGCTTCTAGTGATGGAACAAAAAGTCAAGAAAATGAAACATCGACACCGTTATCACGACCATCATATTTATCTCCGTCATCCGAAGATTTTGGACTCCTTCGCTCGTCATTTGCTAATGTCAAACCAATTAGTGATACAAAACACTTTGTACAGCTATTAAAAGAAAACGAATTTGAGTTTTCAACTGTAAAACATACATTCCGATTATATTTACAATCGTCTGATAAAGTTAGTCATGTAGCCGTCGTGGATCCTCAAATGAAGTACTCTATTACAGAATTGTCACGTGATTTTCAACGTTTATCGAATATAGGTACCATATTATTTTACCATTTTGTTCTTTTACTATTTCTATTCTCTACTTTTGTTTTCAGATTATATTCGTGCTCGAAACGCGTCAAAATATAAAACAAATTACACGGTAGGTTCTTTACCATTATTTTGACGTATTAACAACGCTTTTTTATTCCAGTATGACGACATCTTCGATTTTCGTATTCAATTTCAACATAATGCAAAAACAGGCTTGTCAGAGACAATAATGAAAGATTTGAATCAGCATTTTCCAAATAATCATTTTTCAACGGAATTTGTTTTGAAACCAGTTGATGAAAAAGATCCACAGGACTACTACATACCAGAATCATTATGTCCTTATATAAACTTTATTCGACGTGATTTTGGCGACGTCTATGAATATCGTGGTACTGATCCACTGTATAAAAATTTTCAAATTTGTGTTCAATCATCGACTGAATATAAAATTGATCGTCAAGAGAATATATGTGCGCCAGAATTAGATACTCACGGTAAGTTAATTTTCGTCACACTTTTATTTTAGATGTACCCGAATATTTTATTTTCTCTAGGAATTGTATATGCCTTGTTAGATCTGAAACCAATGGTTCGATCAATTCTATCATCAGCGTCATTGCAGTCAAATGCAGCAGTGCTGAACACAACATCAACATCGTCCATTAAATCACTTGCTTCGTCTATATCTAGTCCATTGAATCTTGACCACGTAGTTAGTAAATTATGGCGAATGGGCAATTGGTTAACGAAACTAGCCGGTGATTGTACATCACCGGATGTTCAAAAATGTACAAATTATTATACAAAAGATGGTGTATCTTATACAGCTGAAGATGAAGCGATGATTCAGACCATTAATACAGAATCATCAATTTACACTATGTTAAATTTGAATAATAGTGCAACGTTTGAAAATGTACAAAATGCCTATCAAGAAAGATGCAATCAATTAGATTCAAAATGGAATATACTGTATAATGGTCTAAAAGCAAAACAAAAATTAGATGGATACTATCGTTCGTATATCCATAATCAAGAACGAGAGCAACGTCAGAATTATAATTCAAATAATAGAAACAATCATTATAAAGGAAATGATTATGGGTATAGGCGTCAACCAAAGAAGCAAGAACCGGGCATATATAATATTGAAAATCCTGAAGATTTTAGCGGAAGAAATTCAGATTTACATACGGATCCATGAACTAATTCTCCATCATTTTTTTTTCCCAAACCATTATTTATAGCAGACTTTACTTATTATTTCACTTACAATTTAAGTTAAATAAATAAAAATACTTTTTTTTGTCTAATTTTCTTTGACATTGAAATGTAATTGATTTATAGTATAGAATTTTCACTTAAAAATGTCTATGTAATTGGTATTTACTTGAACAAATTGATAATAAGATCTGATTTAATTTTTATATCAATTAACTCACAAAAAAAGAAACTGTTTTGAAAAGTGTCTTTAAGATGAATATCAATGGTTCTAAAATAGTAATGTACCTAACTTTAAGTCTTTTTTGTTTTGTTTTCTTTTTTATAATCAAAATGATGTTAAAAATCGTTTTGATGTGTGAATAAAATTTGTTATTCTTTGTCTTTCTTTTCTATATCTTTTGTACAATTATCTGTGCTGTATACACTTAAGATAACGTTTTTAGTATACATTTTTTTGGTTTATTTTCACACCA